TTCTGCCACTGCTAGCTTTGCGCCTGATGCACGAGTGGTAACTTAGGTGCGCCCCCGAGTTTTCCCACACTGTTAGCAAAAATAGCTGGCCCAGCCGTGTAAACCGTTGTCCCATAGCGGACACGTCGAAACGTGTTCGTTTTACACGCAGCCATCTGTGTTTTTCGTCTACTCATGATGTGCTGTGTAAACTTAACACGATACACCGTGTTTTTCTTCCGCTATGCACGGTTGAGCGTGTTGGCTGAGCGTGCTCATAAAACATGGCGGCCAGCAGCCGAGAACAGGCGAGAGACGAGCCCAGCGAGCCGCGGGCCTTTCAGCTGAATTGAGAGCACACAGGACGGCGTTTGTTCTCGTTCGCTGTCTTTATACACACTAAACAGTCTCCAAGCGGCGGACGTAGCTACGTCAGCTACGTGCAAAAATACGTACGTGCGTCGTCGGCATCGGTAGCTACGATCGAGCCGCTAGACAGAAAAGCGAACCTAAATGGACAAATAACTTGAACAAACTATTTGAAATCGGGCGGTAACTTGCGCCACCTAGCGGAATTTCTAGCAGTCTATATAAAACAAACGAGTTTGCTAATACGCTACGACCGATCACAAGGAGACGCAACCCTACGTACATCACAGACAACACCAATACCACGCGTTAAACATCACCGACATATACACAAACACAACACCGACACTGCGCCCGACACTTCCAACTCAACTTGCTTGTCTCCCCGCTGCGTATATAAGCTTGACATGTGCGGGTGAGCTCTTTAGTCGCTGACCGTTACAGATTTATAGAAGAAGAAACAAAACACGGCGCAATGGACAGCCGTACGTAAGAACTGTTTGCATTTAAAAACTATGGAGGAAAAATCTATAATGTTAGTCCGTTGCGAAAAATAACGATGTATTGACAATAAATCCTAAACCGGTCATGAAGAGGTTCGAATTTTTGTTATTTTCCTGCTAGACCAGTGTTATGAGCAGTCCGATTAGCTTAAATCAGATAAAAAAAAATTGGGATTTTTTCATTATGCAGTTAATAATAAATGAAAATGATCCGTGCACAAAGCATTTTTTATATATTCTTGTGGAGGACATGTGCTCAACACTTCACTTCCGCTAGTTGCAGTACGGGAGCAGATGCCTTCACTTTTGGGTCGTGTTGATGCAGTTTGTTGTCGTCTGTCGTGTCGGTGTTGAGCGGAGCGGTGAGGCTCGGGAGTTCGTGGCCGGTGTTATTCGTGATGACTGGTGTGGGGCGCTGATGCGTCTTTTTTTTTTTTTTTTATACTGCCACCACCCCGAACTTTGAAGATACACGGGCCCGTAGCACTGATGCTTAATCGCGAGCTCCTTCTCTGTTGACGTCGCTTTCCTGGTACCACTCGTGGATATTGCAAGCGTTTAAACAGTGTGCACCGTCTCGCCTACATCCCCGGTGACGTACTCTACCTGTTGAAACGTTTTGCTTCCGTCATTTTGGAGTACGCAAGGCAGTTATCTCGTTGCTCTGGTTCCGGTTATAAAAGCAAGGCAAAACGCTCGTAGTTCCCGCCCTCAGTACACGTTGAACATCTTCCACACTTTGACACCGGATAACTGAATGAACGAGGATCTACATTCAGTTCGGAGGTCACTCTCGCCGCTTCCTCACCGTTGAACAGCAGGATCAGCTGGTGACAAGCCACGAATGAAAGCATCCGTGGCTTGTGGGCATCAACAGCCCAAGCGCACTCGGTGCCGACGCGGGCGATACGGGTTTCTGTCAACCGGGAGGCCAGCACAAACCGTGACCGTTCCAGCTCTTCGTCATGACACGGTGTTACAGAGAGCAGGGAAATACAACTACACAGACCACCGAAGCAAACGCACTGCTATCGTGAATCTTGGCTTGTGATTGCGCCTTTGTAGATCATCTTATTCGTGAAGACCAACGGAGCGATCAATTGTAATTCTGTTGTCTGTATGTTTAGACAGCGGGAAGTTAGTGAGCCCCGAGGGTGTCTGGTGTGTTCGTTGGAGATAAAAGCCAATGCCGTACATCGCTCCTAGTCTGACGTCTTCAACGTGCATCACTCAATAGTGATACATGACCGCTCGCCGGTACGATGTTCATCCATATTGAAACGGGCAGGGGCGGAGTATAATACACGTTCTACAGATCTTCAAGCACCGTGTCCCCAAGCCACCAGCCATTGCGGTCGAATTCGAGCTCGAGAGAAAAACAACACTAAGAAAATCTCCGGTTTGAGGCATTTTGTATTAGTGTCGTAATCTCGATTAACACGTTGAAAATAAAATTAACAGGGCGAGTTTATTTACAGAAATATGAAAATACTAGAATATTTAGCTTTCTCCTCATGGCCTTAAGGCTGCGGTCCCACGGCAGCCATCTTGAACAAGGCGTTAGTTCAACCAATAGATGGCGACACGCACCCGTGGGGTGGCCGAAACATTAGTTGACAGTGGGATGGCTCGAGCACCATCACGTTCTTTCGTGGCCTTGCTCGCGCCGCTGCCAGCTGTGCTCAGCTATAAAAAAAAGTCGGTTGCAAGCTAAGAAAAAACCGGAAATGCCTCTCAGAGGAAAATGTAATCCTACGCCGAGAAACGCCAGCCAATCGTTTTCATGACGTCACGATTCCGTGGACCAATCGCGATCCTTTTGAAAAAAAAAAGAAAATCCCAACATGGCTGCTGGCCTTAGCAACGCGACGCTAGTTTCTCGTGACAATTATTCTGCTTTTTTGCACCGTGTTTTACGTGCCCGAGGTTACGCCACGAAATCTTAATGGTATCGGCTTGCGTTTGCAGCAGTTTTTGCGCGACAACGTGAGAATCCAGCGACGCTATCGCCAACGAAAATCTCGAAGCGGGCGCAAGGCTTAGCACTGCTGAGAGCTGGAAGACGGTATGTTAGACAGTATCTTGGACAGAAAATGAATTGGGAAGACGGTACATTGTACATGACTTTCTTTCTTTACTAAACAGCTATTTCGTTGACAAAAACGTATTCTAACTTATTTAAATGTCCTGAATGAATTAAATAAATATTGTAGTAGTTTAAGACACGTTTCCTGGAGGAAGAAAAAGCAACGTTGCTAGCGAACTACTTTCTCGACGGTGGAGGCACTTCAGATGGGCGCAATGCGCTTGTGGGTGGAGCTAAAAGATTGTTCTTAGCTTGCAACCGACTATAGCTCAAGTAGCGTGGCCCAGCAAACGGATGTATGCGAGTATGTCAGGCTGGGTATAAATTGTTCTCTGATATAGGGAGATGCGGTTCGGCGGTTGTCACGGGCTTCCGCAATAAATTTTACGAAGAAGGAATCAATTGTTGATTGACGTGTCAATATTCTATCAATGAAAATATCTTCTGCAGGAATGCACGCTCAGTACACTCAATCTTCCAAGACACCAGTGGAAGCGGACGTCAAGTAAACTGCTTCGCGATTTACGGTACTTACCTCACCATTATAATGACGACTAAAATAACGTCACGAAATATTGTGTTTCACGGGGTCCGGAAGATGTTGTAAAGGTTGTTGCATTATAGGGGTTCCCAGAAAACAAACGCCGTTGCAATATTTTCGGAAGTACCGACACACATAATGTTGAAAGTACAGCCTAGGAGAAATATGATGAAAACCATCAGAAGAAATAGGAAGACGTTTATTTGCAATGATGACGCTATGAATGAACGGCGTTTAGCGACGGCAAGTTATAAGCGTTCGGGAATTTATAAGTTCACGTGATTGCTAACTATGGACATGCGTTTTTGTCGGGAGATGGTGTTGCGGTGATGACCTGATATCGGACGACTCGTGGCAGACGAACCAGCAAGTTTCTTCTCAGCGAATGGTGAGTGTCCAGTGTCAAGCACAACACGTGGCTACCGACGTTGTCGACGTTTTGAACACTTACTGCTTTCGACAAAAGTCCTGGCCCCTAGGCTAACTTTATGGAAAGCCTCGAAGTCTTCCTTGAGTCCAACGCCATCATGAACAGTAACTGAAAACGATCCACTATTCAATCGGTGGGTGGCGAAACGTATCCGCATCTGCGGAGTCATGGGCGATGCGTACTCTAAGTGGCTGGAAGTTTACACGATGCCTGCCACGACGTCCAAACACGTCATTGACGTTCTACGGTCTCTTTTACCTACTTTTGTCCTACCGAAAATGCTTTTCTCTGATAGCGCGCCAAATCTTGCTTCAAACAAAATAAACAAGTTTTTGAAGAAAAAAAAAAACAACAAAAAAAAACCACCGGCATCGGACATCACATTAGTGCACCATACCATCCTGCAACTAACGGGCAAAAAGAACAGATGGTGTGCGAAAAAAAAAAAAGCCCTTTAGAAGCTTACGGAAGAAGCAGTTCAGTGAAGAATCGCCAAGTTGTTGTTCCAGCAGCACGCGGCGGTCTCATCTTACACGGTAAAAACACCCGCCGAAGCAATATTCGGCGGACGAAGAGCCACACCCCTCGATCTCATGATACTACACTGTTAGCAAGTCCCGTGTATTTGGCGAATATTTGGGGTGAAAAACACGCTATTTACACAAATTACCATAAATTTACACGATGAGTAACGGATAATTCGTTCAGAAATCATGCGAGGTTCTAAAAAACGTGTTTTGGTTCGGTCATACACGCATAACCGTGTAGCCGACCTCGATAACACGCATCGCCCCCGGTGACGACCGCGGCATTGCCGGCTATCGAAGCACCGGAATGCTTGGGGACACACCTAGAAAGGACCGTCGAGACAAATGCCGCGGAAAGAAACATGTCTCGGAGACAGATGTGCACCAAAAGCAATTGCGCCATGCGCAGGACGTTGGCGAAACCCGCGCTTACTACAGAGGCTGGAATACTGACTAGTGTTGTGAGCGGAGGCATTTTCTATGGGCGCGGAGGCGACGCGAGCGGATGAAGGCGCTAGGGGGCGCTCGATCCAGGAGTCCTATTACCGCCGCCGGCAACGCAACACCGTGTTGACTGACCGTGCCGCTGGTTGCTTTTCTGTGCGGCCGAGCTTCGACGAACGCGAGGAGCGGAGCCGGTTTGTTTGTTTCTTTTAAGCTGTAGATTGGCGTGCAATGCCGTCTAAAAGGGCCAAATCTTGCTTTGTGCCGAACTGTAACAGCGGTTACCAGTCTTGCAAAGAGAAAGTGCCGCTGTTCCGTGCCCCGAAAGACGCCGAGCGCTTGGAGGCATGGTCCCGGAACATCAAGCGTGCGGACAGAACCCTCGACAGTACGTGTGTGGTGTGTGCGAAACACTTTGAAGAACAATACATCGAGAAGACGTTTAAGCACATCGTAAACGGTGAGCTCGTCCAGATCCAACGCGACAGACCTCTCCTGAGGGACGATGCTGTTCCCACCATTTTTCCGGGCGCGCCAAGTTATTTCACCCGAAGCCTCCCCAAAAAAAGAAAAACAAGAGATTTGTGCCACCAAGTGTTGCCTCCTCGTAAACGAAAAAAGCAGGAAGAAATCTGCGATGCCGTAGATATTCAAGGCGATGAGACAAGCTCAACGTGGACGCACGAATCCGTACATATTCAGGACGAAGAGAGAAGCTCAACAGCGAAGCAGCGGTCTGGTACATCCCAGTTCTACAGCAACCTGCATTTGCCAACCTCCTACTGGTCGAAGATTGTATTCGAAGAGGACCCGTCGTCGGTACACTACGCATGGTGTGAACCAGGAAGCAACAGTCATGTGAAGACTACAAAGTTGGTTACGTTCTGTTCCCTCAGTGGTGAAAATACAGCGCGCTGCTGCGTGTACTTCCGCGCTGTGAAGATCATCGACATCGAGGTGCACACCTCTGCTGAAGCTGAAGCTCAGCTAATGAGTGCAGAAAACTCAGCCATGTGCCCTGGAGCAACACTCAAGCCACTTGTGGGGAAAAACTATGTGACCTTTGGCAACAAATACTTTTCGAAGGACTGCACTGGCCGTCCACAAAATGAGCAGCCGTGCTTACGTTGCAGGTACCTTAAAAAGCTTATCCAAAACCAGATGTCAAGGAAAAGGAAGAAGACGTCTAGCTCCACCAAGAAGCAATCGAGAAGAAGACACGCTCTGTTCAAGGCGAAAAAGAAGCTGCTAGTGGCAAGGAAGACGATTGAACAGCTTCAGGCTCAAAATGATTCTCTGCCCTCAACAATCATCCAAGAGCGGTTGGCGGGCTTGCCACCAAAACAACGAGCTGCTGTCACTTGCTGTTTCGATGCAGCTTCAAGGAAATCACGTCAAGGGATGAAGTACGACAAGTCTTGGATCCTAGAATGTATCCTCATGCGAATGAGAAGCCCAAAACTCTATGAACACATCCGAAAGCAGAACATTCTCGCGTTGCCTTCTAAATCTTGCCTGCAGACCTATATACGTGGCTTTAAAAGTGGATTTGGTTTCAATCCAAACGTGTTTTCTGCTTTGTCACAGAAAACAAAAGAAATGGATGAATTCAGTCTTCACGGAGGTATTGTGTTTGACGAAATGAAGTTGTCGGAGCATGTGAGCGTCAAGTCATCGGGAGCACTGGAAGGTTTCGTTGACCTCGGCTCATTTACTCCTGGGGACCAGAAAACAACGACGTGCGACCATGGCCTGGTCGTGATGTTCCAGCCCTTTCAAGGTGAGCATTTCATTTGTATAATTATTTTTCAGCTCTGAAGGAGGTAGGATTTACCTCGTTTGTTTTATACAATCCTTTATTTGAATTAAAATTTTTTTTTTTTAAGTAGGGCGCTTCAAAAATATTATTTCGTTACTGAGCTAGGCTGATGTCGCAGTCGGTAACGATATTGATCGGCCTATAACATTATTTTGATTAATACCATTTTTAATTCAAGCCTAATTGTTATTATGCACGCATATTCACTGCTTCTGCAGGCGACTGGACTCAAGTCCTTGGAACATTCGCTTCTCGGAGCAATGTGAAGGCAGGCACCCTCTCAAAGATCCTTCTAGAGGCTACTCTCCTCGCCGAGCAGGCTGGCCTTTTCGTCGACTTCGTTACCTGCGACGGAGCTTCCTGGAATCGAAGTATGTGGAAATCCTTTGGCATAAAAGGTATGTATGCTTTAATCCGACAGGAGTAGTGCTCTATCTCTTCATACTTTTTTGTAATGAGTGTAAACTCATACATATGCTTCTTTCAGCATCCGCAAAGGAGATCTGCTGCAAGGTGCGTCATCCCGTCGACAGAAGGAGAAGTTTACACTTTCTTTCCGACTTCCCACATCTTATCAAATGCATCCGCAACACTGTAGTGTCAACTGGTGTGCAGACTCCTGATGGTCATGTCCGCATCGAGCATGTTGAGGAGGCGTGGAAATGTGATAAAGCAAACGTGAGACTTAAGGTTATGCCCACCATAACGAAAGCACACTTGCATCCTAATCCTTTCGAAAGGATGAAGGTCAACCTGGCCTTCAAGCTTTTCAGTGAGGAGGTGCTCAAGGGCCTGTTTTTTTACAAGAATAGGATGGGATTTAGATCCATCACACCAACAGAGAACTTTGTGAGACTGATGGAGAGACTTATATTCGTTATGACGGCTCGAATCCCATCCAAAGCGTTGAAACCACAGAAGTCGCGTGCTGCATTCTTAGCAGATTTTCTCATCTACCTTAATGAGTGGGAAATGTATGCCAGCAAGCACAACGGTGGCTTCATTAGTGCAAGCACAGCCTTGGGCCTGCGTGTGACGATAAGCAGTACGCTTTCCCTTCTGGACTATTTAACGTCTGTGCTGGGGTATGACTACCTTCTCACTGCAAACTTAAGCCAGGACAAAATGGAGAATTTTTTTTCTCTCGTGAGACAATCATATGGGTGCAATGACCATCCTACGCCAGAGCAGTTTTTGCTGATCGTTAACTGCCTAAGTTTTTACAACTTAGCAAAGCCCCTAAAGTCAGGGAACTCTTCCCCAGAGCTGCTAACTGCCCTCCTTAAGTCCGCTGAGGCCCCAGGCCAAGGTGAGACCCACATTTCAAGTCTTGTGGATGAACTCCTAGATGGCGGCAACTGGGAAGGTGCTGACACGATAATCACAGCCACAGGGCATGACACTCAGTGTCCTCCCAGCACTGCCCCGTCAAAAGAAACAGCATCAATAGGGAAGCACTCTAGCTTAGTGAGTGAAAGAAGTGACAGTAGGCTGATCTATTACATTGCTGGTTATGTTGCACGTAAAATGATAAAAAAAAATCCGTGCTCCGAGTGTGCTGCAGAACTCGCTGTGCTCCCGCTGCAGGCTGAGCAAAATCCTAACTCGTGCTTCACAAAAGCTTTTGACCATGGTGGTCTTCTTTACCCTACTGAAGCCTTGTCAAACTTTGTGACTGCGTTGGAAAATGCTTTCACTGTTTTTTTCAGCCACAACGAGTTGCACTGTTCCAGTGTCGTAGATTTTTTATCTTTTTTACAGAACCTTTCATTTGACCGCATTGGCTGTGTCGAGCACACTAAGTTGACCACTGCGAATTTATTGAAGTTCTATGTGCTGACTAGATTACACTTTTATACAAAGTCGGTCAACAAAGAGAGAGAATCCCGAAGGGAAAGGCAGAAGCTCCTCAAGAAGAGGAGGCTGGAGTAAATACAGGGTGCTCCAACCAACAGTGAAAATATGTTTTTAAGCAAAGCACACTGGATATTAAAAAAAATTATTCCTTTGGAATGGCTTTATCGACCATGGGGAGGTAAATGAGTCCAATACAAGGACTAATGAACTAAAATGCAATAATTGACTTTTTACATACTTTAGTTAGGGTAGGTGTTTATGTTGAAAAATTCAAGGTGGCCGAATTTCAAGAATGTTTCTTTTTGTAGAGGTAACCTAACCAGCCTGTGTTCTGGTGTATCCATCTCTAAACTCTCTGCAGAATCCGGCTAAACAGGATACAACACAGGGATATTGGTGCCACAATTGATCTTTACGTATTGCATACAATTTAGCTGTATTGTGTGGAAGGTTTGGAGAGGGATATCTCGAAACACAGGCTGGTTAGGATAATTCTACGAAATAGAACTCTTGAAATACAACCACCTTGAACTTTCTAACTTGACCCGATACCCTTATTACAGTGTTTTAAGCGTTGTTTAACACAGTTCAGTTAATTAGTTAACTATTGGTATGTTCTTTTCTGCCGCAGTCGATAACATAATTTTGAAGATATAATTTCTTTATTTCTAGTGCTCTCCGTTTAAAATATTTCACTCTTGGTTGAAACACTATGCATATGAACTTCGCAGTGGTGTTTTAAGGTGCTTGCTGAAGTTATCCATAACCTTAGTCATTTTGCAAGGTATTCAAAATGAATAAGTTTTATATTTAGTGTCGGGCACTTTTTGTGGATTCTTCGTCATTTTGCCTGCTATGCAACATATTTTTGTCATCTGTTCAACGTTTAGTATGTATTCCTAGGAATTTTACAAGATATGCAGAATAATTTGCATTACCTTTGTTATTATTGTTGCTGCATTTCTAGTGATTTAACAAGATTTTCTTAATAATTTGCAGATTATTTCTTGAATGTTTTGGGTTTTCTAGTAATTTTCATGTTCCTACATTTTAGTCATTTGCAAGATGTGTATTGGTCATTTCATGTGAGTTCTGTATTCCCAGCAATTTATTGGACATCTTACTGTGTGTCATGTGTGTAATTGTTTAATAAAGATACGATGTTTCATTGCACAGGATGTTATTTCTTTCTAGATATATTTTTGTAAATTTTGATCACATCCCTCTGCACAACATGCACTATGTTTCAACTTGAAGGAGCTATCTTTGGAAAGAGAATCGCAACCATTATGCAAAGCCAGCACGTTTTCTTCGGCGTTATTTTGCTAGCAGTCGTTCTATGCCTGGAAACCCCCCCCCCCCCCCCCCCCTTCCCCCTGTAACGTGAAATCAAATCTCGACGTCGTAGTCGTCAGCGTAGCGCGTTCGTTGTGTTCCCCTTTGCGGCAGGAGTTTTAATCGTAAATCAGTTTGTGGTGACTCCTCCTTTCTTTTTTCCCTCATTATTCCCGCATTACTTCTACACGCCTGAAAGCGCTTAAAAGAGCGCACGCGCGCCTTTTGGCTCCTAGGCCGCGGACTCTGTGCGCATCGCACGCCTTCCGCGGCGCTGCTCGGTCGTCTTCCTGGTAGGACTGCTGTCCGCAGCGCCACCGCTTCTGTCATCCGAAAACGTTGCTCCTCTCCGCCGGCGCTCTGAACACTAGTCAGTGTTCAGCCTCTGTACGCTTACCGTGCTCGCCGCCATCTTCTGGTCGATGGCAATGCGGCTTCCCTCATGTCGCCCATGTTTGTATTTAGTTTAGGCAGTTTAGGGGTCCTGATAACAGTTTCTTAGACACCACAAATAAAGTCATGGGTCTAATTATTCGTTCCAAACAGTTAAAATGGATATAAAAAGCGTGTCCTCGATGTGAACACGTGACATTGCAGTTGGTTTCATTTTTGCTTCAACCTTCAACTGCAAGCGATCTGGCCACGGCGCAAGCGCAACGCGGATGCACGCTGGAAGCAAGCGCCGGTTGGCTTTCGTTGTTTTTGTTTGACCGGAGAAAATCTGGCAAGTACGCATGGCGCCGCTACTGTTTTGGTTTGACGGGACGCGAGAAGCTTCGCATAGAGCTTCAGAGTTTGCGAGCATATAGTGAAGACGTGACCGGAGAAGTGCCCCTGTGATGTTCCTGGAAGACGGAAAGTAGCATTCGTAATCGTCGTGTGTGCTTTGAAAGCGAAGGGAGTCACAGGGTCCACGAGTTCGCAATAATTCTGTTTATTGAACAAGTTCAATACATTCGCTTTTTGAGGAAGCTTAACCTTAAGTATGCACGGCTCTGCATCATGCCCTCATTGTGTATTTCCCCACAACATAAAAACCATAAAACACACTTCAATTCATCATTATACAATAATTAACAAATACATACATCTTTATATAAAATCTAAAGTCCATATTTCTTGCAATCTTCAAATCCGTCACAAATACATCAAACACAGCGATTAGTCCCACGCATAAAATGATAAAAACAAGCCAATGTTCACGACAGCGCGGCGTTGACTTCGGCGATCTCGTTCTGTTTGGTGCAACCCGGCGATGCGAAAAAGAGCTGAAACATTCGTCGTGTGTGGTGCGGTGCTTTGTATTCCGGGTCTGTTTGAACCACGCTTTTAACACGGAGCGCAAATTGTTTGTTGCGTGGTGGAGGTTCAACGGGTACAGTCCCGCCGTCGTCAGCTGATCCGGTCCAGCTGGTCCGGGAGGACGCAGCGAGCGTTTTTAAAAGTAAATCTTCCTTCGTTCCGTTACAAACTGTGGAAGTATCCCGACACATACCGTGAGTAAGAAGCAGCGGGCGTTTTCAACAAAATTACGTTGTTTTACATGAATAATGGACTCCGGATTGTTGTCTTAAATCTGCCGTTTTTTATGCTTCGTGTTGGACTGCGTTTGCACAGCGACGTACACCGCTCGAGTAGATGATTCGGTCCTGCAACGAGTTTGTTGCGCCAATCATGCGGCGTGAATAAATTAGGGCAAGGTTTCCTACCTGCCCACAGATGCATGTACTGAGACCATTTTTTATGTTGTGAACGTAGTGCTCTTTCTTTATTTTGGAAGACGCGTTGGTGCATTTATTATGGTACAATCACTTGAGAGTTGAGAAATTGGAGAGCGAGCAAAATTTCTCAACTTTGTCTCTTTCTCTCTGGCACTGCCCTGTTTCAGTTTCAGTAGGCATATCTACTAGCAGGTACAAACTGCTCTAAAGCAGGTAAAAAACGGGAAGCTTAGGCATAGCCTCCTCTATACGGAGAAAGCCTGGCGCGTCGCGTGAAAAGACGGCCGCCGTAAATGGGAAAGGAGGGGCGGAGAAACGGGAGCGGAGAGAACCTTGTCCGCTAGCGCCACAAAAGAGCGAACGGCCAAACGCAGAAACAATCTTTTTTTTTTTCTCTCTTTTCTTGTCGCTATCGTGGAGAGGAGAAACTCAACGTCCACCCTTTCCCGTTTCTCCCTGCGCCCTTCCGAATCGCCGCGCCCGTTTCTCCCGGAGTACGAAAACGACGGTGACGAAAACACAAAAACAAGCGTGGTTCGGGGAGCGGCCGCTCATGACCCAAGCGCTCGCTGTCTAGGTCTGCCCTTTCTGCTCTGCGCTACCATATTTGTCACCGTTCGGCGCGCTCCTCCTCTCCTTTTTCCTGCGGCCGCGCGCTCTATGGCTTCGTCGTCGATGTGCCAGGCTTTCTCCGTATAGAGGAGGCTATGGCTTAGGACGGTGCGGACTCCGTGTTTCGCACTTTTCGCAAGGTGACAGGGTAAATGCTTTTGTGAGATATGCGGAATATGCAAGCGATTTTGTTATGCCTGTCGTTTGCGTCTCTCCAGCAAAACGAATAAGATGATCTACTACAAAGGCGCAATCACAAGCCAAGATTTAAGATAGCAGTCGTTTGTTTCGGTGATTCGTGTAGCTGTATATTACCCTGTTCCTGCAACACCGTGTCATGACGAAGAGCTGGAACCACTGATCTCCACTAGAGGGGGCTGGATGGCGCATTGAGCAAACAAGTATGAAGCCACCGGAAGTGAGCCCCTATAGTAGAGATCAGTGGCTGGAACGGTCACGGTTTGTGCTGGCCTCCCGGTTGACAGAAACCCGCGTCGCCCGCATCGGCACCGAGTGCGCTTGGGCTGTTGATGCTCAAGCCTTTCATCCGCGGCTTGTCGCCAGCTCATCCTGCTGCTCAACGGTGAGGAAGCGGCGAGAGTAACCTCGGAAGTGAATGTAAATCCTCGTTCATTCAGTTATCCGGTGTCAAAGTGTGGAAGATGTCCAACGTGTACTGAGGGCGGGAACTACGAGCGTTTTGCCTTGCTTTTATAACCGAAACCAGACCAACGAGATAACTGCCTTGCGTACTCTAAAATGACGGAAGCAATAAGTTTCAACAGTCGAGTACATCACCGGGGATGTAGGCGAGACGGTGCACACTGTTTAAACGCTTGCAGTATCCACGAGTGGTACCAGGAAAGCGACGTCAACAGAGAAGGAGCTCGCGATTCAGCATAATGCACTGCTACGGGCCCGTGTATCTTCAAAGTTCGGGGTGGTGGCAGTATAAAAAAAAGACGCATCAGCGCCCCATACCAGTGTTCACGAATAACACCGGTCACAAACTCCCAAGCCCCACCGCTCTTCTCGACACCGACACGACATACGACAACAAACTGCATCAAAACGCCCCAAAAGTGAAGGCGTCTGCTCCCGTACTGCAACTGCTGCAACTGGCGGAAGTGAAGTGTTGGGCGGATGTCCGGATGTCTTTCACAAAAATATATAAAAAATGCTTTGCGCAAGGATCATTTTCATTTATTATTGTATACGTAATGACAAAATCCCAATAATTTGTTTTCCTATCTGATTCAAGCTAGTCGGACTGCTCATAACACTGGTCAAGCAAGAAAATAACAAAAATTTGAACTTTTTCATGACCGGTTTAAGATTTATTGTTAACATATCGTTATTTATTGCAACGGACTAACATTATAGATTTTGCCTCCATACTTTTTAAATACAAACAGTTCTAACACACGGCTGTCCATTGCGCCGTGTTTTGTGTATTCTTCTATAAATCTGTAATGGTCAGCGACCAAAGAGCTCACCCGCACATGTCAAGCTTATATGCGCCGCGGGGAGAAATGGATATCGAGTAGGAAGTGTGGGGCGTAGTGTCGGTTGTTGTGTTTGTGTACATGTCGGTGCTGTGTTTCTGTGTGCTGTGATGCCTGCGTTGTATGTAGGGTTGCTGTGTAGTCGTGGTCGTTCGCAGTATTAACAG